TCAACAGGTGATCTTTAGAGGTTTATAAAATCATGCAGAGCATAGATAGGGCAAATAGCAAAGGTCTTTTCCCTAGGGTTGGGGTGTTCAAAACTAGAGGGCATAATTTTAAGGTGAGAGGAGAGAGGTTTAAAAGGGACCTGAGAGGCAACTTTTCCACACAGAGGGTGGTTTGTATGTAGAATGAACTGCCAAAGGAAGTGATAGATGTAGATACAGGTACATTTAAAAGACATTTGGACAAGTATGTGAATAGGAAAGCTTTAGAGGGATATGAGCCAAACACAACCACATGGGACAGTTCTGTTTGGGTAGCAAGGACAAGTTGGACCAAAGGGTCTGTTTCCATGTTGTATGCCCCTATGACTCTATAAAATAGTAAAATACTTTACAGGCATGGGAATGTAAAAGGAAGGTGGGGATATGAATAGGGTTATTAATGGATAGGATAATGGCATAGGTATTACTTTGGTAAAGAGTTAATAGAAAGAAATTATTTTGTTTCAGTCATTACAATAATTACATGTGGCATTGATTAAGGGAATGAATATTGAAAAATAAAATGACTGAAGCGCATAATATTGACATAGGCAAGGGAAGGATCAATGTTTATATGTGGGAAAAAGAAATAGACATTGGATAAGGTGGGAAGAGGATTCATGTATTGAGTATAAACAATGGCATATCAGTTGGGTTAAACTTTGTTTCTGTATATAATTCTATGAGAACATCAGCATTTGGTGAAGAAAAGCTGCTCAGCAGAACTAGGGATCACTTCACAATTTACACAAATGGATTAAGAAGTTTTTTTGCAGTGAAGTTAATGTGCATCTGATCTGAGTTGGTAATTGTATTTTGTATTTCCAAAACATTAGCACAACTTTTCCATACTGGCTAACACCAATGTTAGTGACCTTTCAATAACTTTGTGAGCAAGAATCATTCGGTTTCTCTATGGCTTCAAGGTGTCAATGTCTTGCTGGATTCAGTTTCATTTCCCCCACATAGCCATTGTTTATACAAAATACTTGACATTTAATATTAGCAAATTATTTCCTCTCAGGCTAATTTCCTGAAACAACCATGAAGATGCTGGAAAATGTCAGACGGTCTGGCAACATCTGTGAAGACAGAAACAGAGTTAATGTTTCAAGTTCAGTTTCACCTCCTGTATCAGTGGATATCAAAATAGAAATAATGGCTCCAACCTTCTGATACATTGACATTTGAAGAGTTAGCATTGTCACGGAGTTATGACTTGGTGGGTGCAGTGTGTTGAGAATTTTTGTGAGGTGAGGAGGACTGAACACAGTTAAGAGGGTGAGTGAAATGTTAGCATTGCTGAAGTTGAGGAAGAGAGTGAATATTGTCAGGGGACAGTAGTAGGGTGGAACTCTCAATGGGTGAGACAGGGGATGAATGTTCTCATGGATGAGTAGGGGTTGTACACTCGGGGTGCTGGGGTGTTGGTGATTACCCTGTGGGGGGGTGTAAAGGAGGGAGTGAAATTGTTATGCAGTTTAAGAGATTAGAATGATAGAATCATACAGCACAGAAAAAGGCCTTTCTATATATTATCTACCTATACTTGTCCCACTTTCCTGCACTAGGCCCATAGCCTTGAATGTTATGACATTTCAAATGCTCAACCAAGTACTTTTTAAAGGTTGTGAGGTTTCCCTCTGTCAGGCAGTGCATTTCAGACCCACTACTCCCTGACCAGTACCATGGTCAAGACTTTGTGCTGTATGGTCTAATCCAAAAATACACATTGAGACAAACGTTGACTATTCTATGAAAGATGTTCTTTGGTCTGTCTGAAATCTATCAGTCTTCCAGAGCAAAGGGTTGTCCATGACCTTTGCAGACTGACAACAGCAGGGTGCAGGACTATGAAAGCTTGGGGCAGCTGCCACAAAGGCACAATGAGGAAAAGTCTAAGGCCCGGCTGCATAGTGAGCAAGGAACTGGGAACTGTAGAACTGTGTGTTTGACATGCAATGAATTTTGTAAATATTCACAGTAATTGTGAATGTAGAATCATAGAATCATAGAATCCCTACATTGTGGCCCAACAAGTCCACACCGACCGTAGGAGCATCCCACCCAGGCCCATCCCCCTATAATCCACCTAATCTAGGCATCCCTAAACACTACAGGCAATCTAGCATGGCCAATCCACCTATCCTGCACATCTTTGGACTGTGGGAGGAAACTGTAGCTCCCGGAGGAAACCCACACAGACACGGGGAGAACATGCAAACTGCACACAGACAGTTGCCAAAGGGTGGAATCGAACTCAGGTTCCTGGCCCTGTGAGACAGCATTTGATACATTCCATAAACCTTCTGCAAACCTTCCACCATCTCGTAAAATATCAGACAGGTCGGTGGCAAGCGGATAGGTATTGTATTGATTATAGACCGGATTTTATAAGGTTACCTAACCTTCAAACCTGCCAATGGGCAAGTGTAAAATCCAGCCCATGGGTTTCATGAGCTCTTGGTTGTATTCCAATTCCTAATGCTGGACTCTTTCTAAATTTAGATTACTTGCAGAGCTAGTTTGTTTATTTGGAGCAATTTAGGCATCTTTGGGGTGATTTATGAGCTGTTCAGCAGCATCCAACTTGTTACAGTAAGGCTTGTGAGTTAATTTTATAAAGTAACTAATGGGCTTGAGCAGAGGGAGCTGAAGAGTTGCAATGGATAAGGGATTAGTGAATAGGGTGTTGGATTGTTTAAAGTAGACAGAAGGTTCAATGACATTCAATAGTTCTTAATCATTCATGAGATGTGGGCTTCACTGGTTGGGCCAGGGTTTAGTGCCCATCTCAAGTTGTCCATGAGAAGGTGAACTGTTTTCTTGAACTGCTGTAGTCCACTTGGCGTAAGTAAACTCACAATACCGTTAAGGTGGGTGTTCCAGGATTTTAATGCAGTGATTTTGAAGAATGGTAATATATTTCCATAATATGATGGTGTGTGGCTTGGAGGGGAACTTACAGCTAATGGTATATCTGCTGCTTGGTCCTGGATGGTGTCAAGCTTCTTGAGCGTTGTTGGAGGTGCACGCGTTCAGGCAAGTGGGGAGGATTCCATTACACTCCGGACTTATGCCTTGAAGATACTCAAATGGCTTTGGAAATTTGGGAGGTAGTTACTTGCTGAAAGATTCCTAGCCTCTGGCCTACTTTTATAACCATGAAGTGGAGGTGCCAGACTTGGACTGGGGTGGACAAGTTCAGAAGTCACATGTCACCTGAAGGAACAATGCTCCGAAAGCTTGTGATTTCAAATAAACCGGTTGGACTATAATCTGGTGGATTGTGTGACTTCTGAACTCCTTTTATAACCACAATACTCATAGGGCTAGTTCAGCTTCTCGTCAATGGTAAGCCCAGGATGTTGATTGTGGGGTATCCAGTAATGGTAATGCCATTGAATGTCAAAGGCATTGGTTAGATTCTCTCTTGTTGGCAATGGTCATTACCTGACAATTGTGTACCATGAACACTACTTGCCACTTGTCAGCTCAAACCTGGATATTGTGTAGCCTTTTGTTTTTTTCGACATGGACTGCTTCGGTATTGGAAGAGTGGTGCTGAACATTGTGCAGTCATCAATGAACATCCCTAATTCTCATATTATGATGGAGGGAAGGTCATTGATGAAGCAGCTAAAGATGGTTAGGCCAAGGAAACTGCCCTGAGGAATTCCTGCAGGTTCTGAAACTGAAACAATTGACCTCCAACAACCTCAACCCATCTTTCTTTCTCTTAGATATGACTCCAACCAGCAGAGAGCTCCCCCCCCGCTGCCCCCAGTCTCCTTTACTCTAGTTTTGCTAGAGCTCCTTGATGTCATACTTGGTCAAATGTGGCCTATGTGAAGGGTAGTCACTCATACTACATCTTTGGAGTTCAGCTTTCTTGTCCATAATTGAGCCAAGGCAATGGGACATTGGGTGAGGATTCTTTTTGACTTAGTTACTGACTTGATATAGCTGCTGCAGATACATGGAAGGACCAACTGGAAGCCCCAAGGCCAATCCAAAATTGGCCTAGTTAACATTAGTTAGTTGAGCTATTAGCACTTGACAGACATCCATGGACATCTTCCAATTTTTAAAAATTGTATTTCAGGCTGTTTGCCTTATCAGATCTGTCTCAGGGTGAGGATGATGATCAAGCAACATATAGGCAGGCTTGTGACAAGTATCTTGAAATTGTGTAAACCATTCTTAACTACTAGCTTGAAAAGGATGTTTCATGAAACTGCGTCAAAAGAAAATATATTTTGTTTGCTGTTGCTGCTTAGGCCACAGCAGACAATGAAGAATTCAAATTGGAGCAAATTTGTTTCCTGCTTCATGCATCTCACTATCATATGTGAAGGATAGGTTGTGTCTGACTAATGTAATTTCTGCATTGTTAGAATCTGCTATTCCTGGGAACCAAAGCATGTATGATGTAACAATGAAAGTCCCTCAACTATGCCCCCAAATGTAACTTTGGTTTAATATCGGATGAGTTTGTTTGGTGAACATGGCATTTTTGTTTGTCTTGTTCGCTATCCATTTATGCATAAAGTTGTTAATTAATTGTTCATAGTTTTACACCATGGGTCTAGATCCACTGAGAACAGGATTAAGGCCATCAAACTGAATTTCACGTGTGACTTTTATTTCCTTGATGTTAATTCGAAGTGGTAACTCACTGTATCAGCAAGCATCTTCCTCTGACTTTATAGTGAAAAGGAATGAGGGTAGATGAATATTAAATAAATGTTACGTCTATTATATTTTTACACTTTTATCTTATTATCTTGGATTTAACATAGCAAAGATTTTGTTGGAAGAAAAAACTAAATCAGACAGAAATACAAAGCAGTAATATGATGTTCTCAAAATTATGGAAATTTCACTCGCTGAATTAGATTTAATGCATAAATAAGTTTCTTATGGCCTTAATCTCATATAATTTTCTCCTGTACTTTTAGGTTTTTTGCAGCCTCGTACTTTGCCCAGTGGAGGACTTTTTCCTTTCACTCAGAGTCTTTTTTGTGATATTGGTTCTCAGTGTCGTAGCACAGAGTTCACAAGATCAGAGAACTCTCCCCGTTCCAGGTACTAGATTCCAACATGTCTTTGTGAAGAAAGAAACTTAAATAAGACTTACTATAACTAAATAATCTGGTTAAAGACATATATGGGTATATAAAGTCAGAAGTGTAGAGGAACGTAGAAAATGAGATTCCCCTGGGCACTGTCCAACTTGTTGGCTAGAAGGAGAAAAGGATACGAAAGTCGAGTGTTGGAGGACAAAATTATAAGCCAGAGGCAAGATTGGAAGCTGAAGCACAGGAAGATTGAATAGGTCAGCATAGGATCAGAGGTCTTGTGCATTACAACTCAGATAACCTGGCAGTGAACGATCAAACTGGAGCTAATTCGTTAGTCACTGCAAACCTTTATTCCTCGAGGCATACATTACAGATGTGCATCTCAAATCTGACAACGACATTTTCAGCTTACTCTTATCTTGAGGAGAACGGTGCATTCCAAGCTAATGCCCACCACCTAAACTCAATTAAACTCCCAATTAACATACAATTCACATCCTGGAGGAGTTTAGAAAATATAAGGGAGATGGGAAAGATCAGGCTCCTGTCAGATTATGTGAATAAGTGAAGCAAGTAAACTAACTCCAACATATAATTGCCAAGGTGCTTACCTTGTGAATCCAGTAGGCCTCATCTCCCTTTAACTGCTGGATCTCCAGAGACCTGAGAACTTGGCTGACCAGGGTTGAATTTAACGTGGTAGTTATGTGTAAGTCACTCAACCTCTTCATAATATTTAACTCCAGTTGATCTCCTGGGACTGGGTTTGTTGTCTGCCCGAGTCCTGTTTTTATTCAAACTTGAAATAGGTGGGTCAGGATGGGATTCAGACTTTTGATATTCTACCATCCCATTCAGTTGAATCATTTTCCCCAATAGTCTGTTTGACCACATTTTGTGTTGCTAGGTCCAAACTTTTCATGAATGCTGTTTGAAGTTAGGACCAAGTTTCAAGAATGAGTAGACCCCACAGTATCTGATTTCTATATTCCTGATTGAAATATATCCCATCAAAGTTGAGAATTTACTGTGAAGGATGCTGCTTTAAATCATACCCAACATCCAATATTATTAGAAAAGTAGGGTCCAGCCAGTCTGGTGGTGTATGTTTCTCCAATGACAGCATTGCCACAGTCACTTAATTCAAATCTTAATTTGGATTCAGGACAACATAGAAACAGGAGTAGTCTGTTCAGCCCTTTGAGTCTGGTCTACCTTTAATTAGATCATGGTTGATCTGAACCTCAATCTCATTTACTCACCTTTGCTGCATCCTAACTGACACTCTTACCTAACAATATCTACTGATAACAAAAATAGAAAATTTCAAAAATGCTCAGTGGGTTAACTAACATCTGTGGAGAGAAAATAGAGTTAACATGACCCAAGCAGTCACAGGCCATTCAGTTTAAACAGAAACAAAAATTGCACTCAAAACTCAGCAGATCTGGAAGCATCTATGTGAGAAAACAGCTACAATTTTGAGTCTGGTGACTCTTCATAATGAAAAGGGAGATATGATGTGCATGGACTTCCTGAAGGTATTTGATAATTTGTTGCACAACAGACTTGTGAGCAAAGCTCTAACTTTGTCCCTTTTATTCCACTTAAATAACATTTAAATAATGTCAGAAATCACAGCACACTAGGTTATAGTCCAACAGGTTTATTTGAAAATACATGCTTTTGGAGCCTCTCTCCTTCTTCAGGTGTTAATGAGAGAGGTAGTGTCAGACACAAAATTTATAAGTAAATTATCAAAGGGTCATACCGCTGATGAGGATATGTTAAACAAACCCGAGATGCTGTTAAATCTTTAATCAGTTAGAAGGTTTTGATTGATTAATATGTATGTGTAAATCCCCAAATTCCCTTTAAGCCACTGTCCTGAGAGAACTAAAGGTTTTATCAATGCAAAGAAAAGGTGACATTTTAGGTCAATGCATGTTAGATGTGAGGCCTTGTTTAGAATCTGTTTATGTTTTGGTCTGACCCTTTGATCTTTTACTTATAAATTCTACGTCTGATACTACCTCTCTCATTAACACCCGAAGAAGGAGCAAGGCTCTGAAAGCTTGTGTTTTCAAATAAACCTGTTGGACTATAACCTGGTGTTGTGTGATTTCTGACATTGTCCACCCCAGTCCAATACCGGCACCTCCACATCATGACTACCATCAACACCAATAAAAGTGACATTGATAACTTGGACACATGCTGGTTGAGTGAAAGAAAACAAGGAATTATTAATTAATGGATGCTTTTTGGGCTTGGCGAAGGTTTGCAATGGTGCTTTTAAGGGCTCAGTTTTGGGACCTTCACTTTTCCTGATATTTTAGAATTCCTACAGTGTGGAAACAGGCCCTTTGGCCCAACAAGTCCACACCGACCCTCAGAGACACCCAGACCCATCCCCCTATTATCCACCCAATCTACACATCCTTGAACACTATAGGCAATTTAGCATGGCCAATTCACCTAACCTGCAAATCTTTGGACTGTGGGACAAAACCGGAGCACCCGGAGGAAACCCACGCAGACACAAGGAGAACGTGCAAACTCCACCCAGTTGCCTGAGGGCGGAATCGAACCCGTGCCGTGAGGCACCGTGATCCAGACCTTACTGTTATACAGGGCACAAATCAAAATTTGCTAAAGTTACAAAACTTGAAAGCATTGTAAGCTGTGGGGAAGACAGTATAGAACTTCAAAAAGACTTTGACACATTGGTGAAGTGTGCGAGTCAGTGGTAGATGAAGTTCAATGTGGAACAAAATCAGAAATTGTTGGAAAAACTCAACAGGTCAGACAAGATCTGTGGACAGAAAGCAGAGTTAATGTTTCAGGTCCATTGTCCCTTCTTTAGAATGGAGAAGAAGGGTCAGTTCTGAAACAAGACTCTATGATGCTTTAGGAAGCATGAGGATATAAAAACACATGGATGTCCCTGTAATGTACAGATTCGGTCTGTGACATGTTTATTATATTCTACTTTTTAATAGAGCACGGATTTTCCCTGATTGAACAATTTGCAAAATTGAATATTAGCCAGTAATGTTTGGTTTATGCCATTTACAAAATGAGAATCTAACCTGTGTTTGTGTTGTTGCAGGTCTTCGCTGGGCTTCACAGATGAGAGTGGGGTCAACTTCTTAACATTAATACAAGATCTTGGAAAGGAAATCAATGAAACCATGCAAAAAGCATCTACTTTACAAAGCAATTTAAATGAATTGTTTGGAGATTCGGGTAATGTTGTGATACAAGTGATAATGTTTTACTTCAGTTAATACATTGTGAAAATCTCAACTATAATTAATACTGTGGAATTGCTGTAATCAGATGCATGTAGTCTTTGTTTGCTTTATTGGGACTCATAATATTCTGGTTTAGAGTCCTTACCTTTTACTACATAATGAAACTGATCGGCTCAGAAAAGCTGGTCCATCCTGTTGGAAAGACTCTCTCTGGGGGTAAAAAAAGTGGATGAAATAAGGTGACAAAAATGGCCAAATGAATGAAAGCCCTGACCATGGTGCACTAAGTACGTTTGAAAGTGGGGGAGGTCATCAAATGCTAATACATTTTCAGAAAAGATTGGATGACTTAGAGGATGTGTGGCACTCATCTTAGAAGAGAGAGAACTGCAGAAAAATTGCAAGGGTCTAGCATACATTTCAAAACCACAATGTGACAGAAAATCCTTCAATGTCATGTAATTTAGATTCCAATTATTTCCAAGTTGTTGCAGGTCTGAGTCTCTCCAACCCAAGGAGTCATCTATCTATGAAATCTGTCAAAAACTGATTAAAACAATATTTTCCAACTCAGAGAGAATGCATGAGAGGAAAAGTCAAAGTTCATAAAATAGCGAAAGATAAAAGTAAAAAAAGACAATGTAAATGAAAATTAATTCATGGAGGATTTCACTAGAACCTTCCATATTTGACCATCTTCCAGTAACCATGGAGGTTTTGCCTGTCAGCTGGACACTGGTGTGGACCCTGAGTTAAATTTTTTGGGGAGAGCCATTTGAATTAACTGCTAGTTAATTCATGCAAATCATTCTGTGGGACAAAGGATCACTGGGTGGAAACCTCTCACCCTTGTGAGCTGACACTGAACATAGTCTGCAGAGAGGCTGACGTTTCGGGCCTAGACCGTTCATCAGAAAAGTGGGAGGGGAAGGGGGTTCTGAAATAAATAGGGAGAGAGTGGGAGGCGGATAGAAGAGGGATAGAGGAGAGGATAGGTGGAGAGGAAACAAACAGGTCGAAGAGGCGGGGATGGAACCAGTAAAGGTGAGTGTAGGTAGGGAGTTAGGAAGGGGATAGGTCAGTCCAGGGAGGACGGACAGGTCAAGGGGGCGGGATCATGTCCATCCTGGGCCTCCTGCAGTGCCACAACGATGCCACCCGAAGGTTGCAGGAACAGCAACTCATATTCCGCTTGGGAACCCTACAGCCCAATGGTATCAATGTGGATTTCACAAGTTTCAAAATCTCCCCTCCCCCTACCGCATCCCAAAACCAGTCCAGCTCGTCCCTGCCTCCCTAACCTGTTCTTCCTCCCACCTATCCCCTCCTCCCACCTCAAGCCGCACCTCCATCTCCTACCGACCAACCTCATCCCGCCCCCTTGACCTGTCCGTCCTCCCTGGACTGACCTATCCCCTTCCTAACTCCCTACCTACACTCACCTTTACTGGTTCCATCCCCGCCTCTTCGACCTGTTTGTTTCCTCTCCACCTATCCTCTCTTCTATCCCTCTTCTATCCGCCTCCCACTCTCTCCCTATTTATTTCAGAACCCCCTTCCCCTCCCCCTTTTCTGATGAAGGGTCTAGGCCCGAAACGTCAGCCTCTCTGCTCCTATGATGCTGCTTGGCCTGCTGTGTTCATCCAGCCCTGCACCTTGTTGTCTCGGATTCTCCAGCATCTGCAGTTCCTACTATCTCTAAACATAGTCTGGCAGCTTTGCATTGCTCTGCCATACCATCCAAGACTCCAGATGCCAAGGGCCAACAGATGAATGATGTTGAAATGGGTTTTTGTTGGGTGGGTTTACAGGGGGACTGGAGTAGCAACAAGGCCAGAGGCTAGTTCTCAGCAGTCAGTAGACTCTTCCCCATTCCTAGTGTTGGGTCTGTGAGTCGAACCCCACTTTGGAAGTCTGCAAGGTTCCATGACTGGATATATGAATATAGGCCCCTTAGTAAATGAATTTGGGGAGATAGTTATAGGGAACAAGGAAATGGCAAAGGAGTTAAACAGATATTTTGCATCTGTCTTTATTGGGGAAGAGAGTTTGAACATCCCATTACTACTAAAGAGTACTGGGTAGAAATTAAGTATCAATTTAAGATTGAAATGAGGAGGAATATCTTCTCACAGAGGGTTGTGAGTCTTTGGAACTCATTGCCACAGACAGCTGTAGGATCAGATTCCTTGTGTATATTTAAGGCTGAGATAGATTTGTGATCAATAGGGGAATCAAGGGTTACGAAGAAAATGCAGGAAAGTGGATGCATGGAATTTTGGATCAGCCATGATCCTATTGAATGGCAGAGCAGGCTGGCCTAATCCTGTCCCTATTTCTTATGATTAAGAAATGATATGATTTGCTTCTTGGCCATTCTGCAAGGCGAATGTTAATTCCCCAATTAGGAACCTTAACAAACTTAACAAACTGAGGGCATCAATTTCTGCTCAAGATCTCATGATGAATCCATTAGCTAACTCTTTAAAGTTCTGATGCAGGTGAACTTACATTGTCATGACTTTTAATACCTTATTTTTAATCTTATGTCAATCTCAGATTAAAAGCTGGCAATTTAGAGCTAAGAGTAAGGTAAACAATGGGCCTTCTCAAGAACTTAATGTTGAAGTGATGGAAAAGGGACAGGTATCTTCTAGGTGCCAACCTGTTCATTATTTGCCCTTCCCACCACCTCCACATCACCTATAGAGAAGGGAATATCTTTTTCTTTACATTTAATGCCTAGAGAATGAGAGAAATTTACACTTGAGTGTACAATAGAGACTGTTATGAGAATACTAAAAAGTCCTTGGTGTTAAATGTTATTGTCCATAATGTTGCTGCAAGCCATTTTATTTCATACAGGCTAACATCCATTAAAACAGCAAATAGATGATTCAACGGTTATATTTTACAAGTTTGCACTCCTGAAATAGAATTCTATGTTGAAATTGCATTTTGCAAATTTGGTAACAAAATTCAGTAGGCCCTGCAAATATTTCTATAAGACTATTGCTTTTAAAGTACAGATTTTATTGAAGCCTTTCCCCTTTAGGGCATTCACGAGAATTCTGATGTAATGAGGAACAATATTTTATAACATTGAGAAGAGAGAGCTGATTGGTTCACAAAGTGGACTGTATCGATGGACACATTATCATGGAGAGTGCACCAGTTAAATAAAGGATGAAAGTTAACTGCCAAACTATCGAAAATTGTCAGTTGAGCTTGAGGTGTGCTGCATTTGCACTCACTGGAAGCTGACTGTTCATAATTGAAACCCTGTTCTGTATAAATATTTTACACTTACCCTATTCAGAAATGTTATTACACACCTTAGGAGCAGATAGGAGTTGAACCCAGGTCTCCTGGCTCCATGGGAGTGACGCCACCACTGTGCCACTGTTTTCCAATCAACTTGTTCAGGGATATTATTCCATCTCTCTGGAGCAGATGGGAGTAAAACCCTGGCCTCCTGGCTCAGAAGTAGGAACACTACCACTGCACTACAAGAGGGCTGGAAACTTGACTCTGTGTAGAAAGAACATGTACACAAATTGCACCTGTTGCGACTGAACAAAATAGGCGATAACTATTCTCTGGCTCATTTGTAAAACTAATGCTTGACTATTCAGAACCAGACTGCCCGGTTTATATTTAAATAAGCTTAGCAGATAATTGTCAATTAGCATCTAACAGCCATATTCAAATGGTGATGCCTGTACCAATCAGAATCCACTTCCCAATCCCCTTTCTTTTCCTGCTGTATAAAATGTTGTTCCCTTTTAAGTTGGTGTTCTTGTGAATGTGCTGATGAGTGCACAACAAAAACTTTTGATAAAATGTGAGCTTTTCTCAGTAATATTTTTGGTTCAAACATGGACGAACAGTTGAATTTCAAAGGTGTGAGAGTGACAGCTCTCGACATTAAAGCCACATTTGACTGAGTGTGGCATCAAAGACTCCTAGCAAAACTGAAGCTATTGGGAATTGGGGAAATCTCTCCATTAGTTGAAGCCATATCTGGCACATAGGAAGCTGCAGGCCAGGTGCTAGGAATACTGCTGCAATAAGTCACCTCCTGACTCCCCAAAGCCTATCCACCATCCACAAGGCACAAATCAGGAATGTGATGGAATGCTCCTCACTTTTCTGGATAAGTCCAGCTCCAACAACATTCAAGAAACTTGACACCATCCAGGACAAAGCAGCCCGCTTGATTGGCACTACATCCAATTCATCCATTCATTCCACCTCCAGTTGCAGAAGTGTGTCCTACCCACAAGATGCACGGTAGATTAAGTCACCAAGTCATATAGTTCAAATGAGAATATACTTTATGTTCATTTATTTGCATAGCATTCCTGTCAGCTTCCTTCTCAATTGACTCGAATCTTCAAATTTTTATCTGGGTCTTTAATTAGCTTGGACTATTCAAATAAGAGTCAGAGATAACAAGGTGTAGAGCTGGATGAACACAGCAGGCCAAGCAGCATCAGAAGAGCAGGAAGGCTGATGTTTCGGGCCTAGACCCTTCTTCAGAAATGGGGGAGGGAAAGGGGGTTCTGAAATAAATAGGGAGAGAAGGGGAGGCGGATAGAAGATGGATACAGGAGAAGATAGGTGGAGAGGAGACAGACAGGTCAAAGAGGTGGGGATGGAGCCAGTAAAGGTGAGTGTAGGCGGGGAGGTAGGGAGGAGATAGGTCAGTCCAGGGACGACGGACAGTTCAAGGGGACGGGATGAGGTTAGTAGGTAGGAGATTGGGGAGGGGCGGGGCTTGAGGTGGGAGGAGGGTATCTCCTCCCTACCTCCCCACCTACACTCACCTTTACTGGCTCCATCCCCGCCTATTTGACCTACCTGTCTCCTCTCCACCTACCTTCTCCTCTAACCATCTTCTATCCCTCCCCCTCTCTCCCTATTTATTTCAGAACCCCCTTCCCCTCCCCCATTTCTGAAGTAAGGTCTAGGCCCGAAACGTCAGCCTTCCTGCTCCTCTGATGCTGCTTGGCCTGCTGTGTTCATCCAGCTCTACACCTTGTTATCTCAGATTCTCCAGCATCTGCAGTTCCTACTATCTCTCAAATAAGAGTCAATCGGGACTCTCATTTTAAATAGTGAGATCAGTTGGCTGCTCTAGGTGACAATGTCTCTGAAAAAGACAGCTACGTATCAAAATGTTGATTATAAAATGCGAATTTAGCAAAGGGATTGGGTACCACACGTTTCCTGTTTGTCAAACTTCTAAATTTCAACATTTCCTATAAATAAGGGGCAGAAATGGGGGAAAGACCCAGAAGTTAAGCGCTGTTGTGAGGAAACAGTATTCACATTTCAGTTGTGATCCTGCAGCAGAAACCCTTTTGTATTACTGTTTTGCTTTGTACTATAAATAAATAGTCTGTGTTTTATTTAATCTCTTCATTTATTATTCAATGAATTGTTTCAGTCACAACTTGTAGAAAGTTTAATGTTGATGTTGCTTTCCTAATTTTGCAGATGAGGAAGATCTTTGAATGCATGAGATAATTGCACTAGTTAAAAGATTTCTGAAGAAATACTTTTTCCTTGTTTTCCTGTGTAATCTATTAAACCTTTAACCAGATATTGGGGCAATTACGGCACTCTTCAAGCTCTAAAGAGCCAAGACATATCTGAGAGTAAAATAGAGAAATTCAAATATATCCAACAACAGAGGCAAAAAAAATGCAAAAACATGGCATGAAGTTCCACGTTGATTTATATCCATGTCTCATGCAGTCAAACAAATTTTCTTAACCTTTTCCCCAGATGTTATTTTTTGCAATTAAGTTGTAATCTTCTGCCTGATGAGTCCTGTTTTCTTCTTCAGGTTCTTCTGGACAACTAGGATTTGTCATGGTAAGTGATTAAATCAATATATTGAATGAAAAATCTTTCAAAAAAGATACATATTATCCAGTCCAATATACCCATTCTTCAATAAGACTGAAATATGCTAAACAAAGTCTTATTGCTATGCCAAAGTATCCACTAAACTTACCAACTGGAGAAAATATTTAACAGAATAAGCTAAAGCATTAACAGGTCTCCTCAATGGTTCAGTTAGTAGCTGAGGATTGAATAGCAGTTGACCTTAAAATTGCTGGATTATAGACAGAAATGTCTGTTCTTCTTTCCACTGATGTTTACTAACGAGTGAGTTCCTAGCTTCTAGCTTCAGCTCAACACTTCCGGGAAAGACAGGGGGAACACAAGTATAGAAAAACACAATTTTAAACAGCATCAATAATATGAACGGGAGTAGTAGGGTTATCAATGAAAGTTATATTTATATAAAAAGATTTCTTGACAATTTTGTGTATCCCATTAAAATAGTAGGAGTATGAATAGTTTTAGAAAGTGAAATATTGGTGACTGATTCACAAACATATATGTTCATTGCAATGAAAAACTGCATTGAAAATGGAAAAAAAAGTATTAACGAGTGAAGACAGCCCTCAGTAGAGTCAATACCTTTGCCACATTGTGTTTGCTCAAAATTATTAGAACAAAACAGCTTAGTTGAAGCTTTACCATGACTGGTTGATCTCTGTAAAAGTTAAAACAATGTATAACTTTCAAACAGCTTCCATCTCACAGAAGAGGCTTCAAGACCATTTACATCCATAAACCTGCTCAGAAAAAAGCTCATTTTGACAGTTGTGACAAATTCCACCATAACAACTGAAACAACCAAAAACATTCTAAAGCAATCAAAAACATTCTAAATAAAACAACTCACAACATCCTAAAAGAGAAATGTAAATTCACTCTTTCTCTCATAGAGTCATTGGGTCATAAAGCATAGAAACAGATCCTTCAGTCCAACTCGTCCGTGCTGACCAGACATTCCAATCTGACCTAGTCCCATTTGCCAGTATTTGGCCCATATCCCTCTAAATGCTTTCTATTCATATACCCATCCAGATGCCTTTTAAATGTTGTAATTGCACCTGCTGTCAGCACTTCCTCAGACAGCTCATTCCATACGTGCACCATCCTCAGAATGAAAAAGTTACCCCTCATATCCTTTGCCCTCTCACCTTAAATCTATGCCCTCTAGTTTTGGACTCCCCCACCCTAGGGAAAAGGCCTTGGTTATTCACCCTAGCTTTGATCCTCATGATTTTATAAACCTCTTTACGATCACCCCTCAGTGTCTGATGTTCCAGGGAAAAAAGCCCCAGTCTATTCAGCCTCTCACTATAACTCAAACCCTTCAATCCCAACAACATCCTTGTAAATCTTTTCTTCACCCTCTCAAGTTTAACAATATCCTTCCTTTAGAAGGGTGACCAGACTACTCAGTATTGTAAAAATGATCTCAATATTAAAAAAAATTCCTGGATCATTCACCACAATCTAATGGGATCTTCCTTGGATCATACCCTACTTGTGTACCAAGTTTGTTGAAATTCATTCCATTACTTTTTGAGAAATATTGTTTCCAGGCAAACATAGAAACAAACAAACAAGAATCTGCCCTCATTCAGTTGTAGATGTAATTAATAATGATAGTTTTCTGAAGAAGGGTCTAGACCTGAAACGTCAGCTTTCCTGCTCCTCTGATGCTGCTTCGCCTGTTGTGTTCATCCAGCTCTACACCTTGTTATCTTAGATTCTCCAGCATCTGCAGTTCCTACTATCTCTAATAATGATATAATTTGTTCTAGCTTTATGACTGGTAAAACAAACAAGGGAAGGACTTGTACAATTATTTGTAGAGCCCTGGGTAGTGTTGTTGAACAGAGACACCTAGGGGTTCAGATACATAATTCTTTGAAATTTGTGTCACAGGTAGACAGGGTGGTTAAGAAAGTGTTTAGCATGCTTGTCTTCATTGTTCAGACCTTTGAGCATAGGAGTTAGGATCTCATGTTGAGGTTATATGGGAAATTGGTGAGGCCTCTTCTGGAGTACTGTGTGCAGTTCTGGACACCCTGTTATAGGAAGGATGTTATTAAGCTGGAGAGGTTTCAGAAAAGATTTATGAGGATGCTGCTGGGAATGGAGGGCTTGAGGTATAGGGAGAGGCTGGATAGGCCGGGACTTCTTTCACTGCAGCGTAGGAGTTTGAGAGGTGACCTTATAGAGGTTTATAAAATCATGAGGGCATAGATAAGGTGAAAAGCAAGGGTCTTTTCCCAGGGATGGGGTCTTCAAAACTAGGGGACATATTTTTGAGGAGAGAAGAGAAAGTTTTAAAAAGGACACGAGGAGTAACTTTTTTACACATGGAGTGATCCATGTGTGGAATGAACTGACAGAGGGACTGGTGGATGCAGGTACAGTTACAATATTTAAAAGACATTTGGATAAGTACGTGAAAGGAAAAGTTTGGAGGGATATGTGAGAAATTCAGGCAGGTGAGACTAGTTTAGTTTGGGAATATGGTTGGCATGGACTGATTGGACTGAAGGGTCTATTTCCGTGCTGTATGACTCTATGACTGTAGCAATCTTTAGCTAAGTGAAAGCATAAGTTGACTTTGTGAAATATTGCAGCAGTATGATTAATTAAGGATATTTTATAATAAACTTAATAATATTCCTAAAAGGTAATTGTTGATTAATTAGTCAAATTCTTAACATAATTAAGCCAAACACAATGTTTATATTTCATTTCTTAATATTTTGCAATGTTTACAATAAGTATCTATCCGAGATCTGAGTTAACCTGCTGTTTATGACAAATAAAAATGCAACGTATCCTACTTCAGCTAAGAAAATGTTATTTGTCAGGAGGTTTTTTCCAAATCAATGAAAACTCTGCTGAAAGGCTGTCTTTTTAAATTGTCAGTATCAACTTGTTTTGTTTACAGCATGAATGGAAGGATTTCAAAGGAAAGTAGGAATAGTTAGCTATGTAAGACATAAATTGCCTGTTATCCAACAAGATTGAAGAGCATTTGAAATTATACAGATTGAATTGTCTTTGGTTCATACACTGAATGCTAGAATTTGATCCTGATTAATATGCTTCACATCCAATGTTCAGTCACTTTAAAGTGGAAAAATACAGGACAGGGTTTTTCAGATGGATACATTGATACTTTTAATAAATTCATTAATTAGATTTGGATATCTCTTGCTGGGCTATCATTTATTACCCTTGAGAAGCTGATGAAAGCTGCCTTCTTGAACCACTGCACTCCATGTGTTTGGGCTGGCTGTCTCCCAGCCAATTAAAAAGTGTTGACTCATCACAGAGAGTTGCTGGCCAATCTGATTTGTTAGCAGCTCTTTAGTCCCAGCAGTGACAGTGGCAGCAGTAACCAGGACTTTGGCTGCAAGCTCTTCCCAGATTCTAAGTTCTGGGTGTCCAGGGCCAGGTAATTATAGGGTCTCCCAGTGGAGAAGGCAGGCTCCTTGGGAGATAAGAAGTTTTTATAGACTGACTGGGGTGGGAAAAGGGGGCACCGAAAGGGTGCTGACCTGGGGGGCCATGCAAGGGGTGACATGGAAAGACAGCCTTTGAGGTCAAGGTTGGGTGGCAAAGTTGTAGAAAGATTACACTGGAAATATTAAAGGTCTGACCAAATACACACCCATCTGTGGGAAAGACATAAAATTCTACCTCAGAAACTTTGCATCATTACTAATACTACCATTGTAAGTGATATTTCTTTTTAAAGAAGGAAGCTGAATCAAAACCCAATTACCAGATCAATATTTGTTGAGAACAGATCTGAAATAACAAAAATTGAAGTACGATAATCTATGAATTTAATTTCTCCCTTATCTCTACCCTGACTTTATTTTCATCTTTTCTTGCTTGTATAAGCAAAACTTGAAAGTGTCACAATTCTTTAAAGAAAGCTTCTGAATTTAAGACAAACTGAATTTGGTAACAATTTTTTTTAGATGGATCTGATTGAAACAGAGAAAGCCATTAACATAATAGAACAAATTCACAATGAAACATATACTTGGGATATTCTTTTCAAACTACCTAAAGTACTGGAAACCCTGAAGAATGAGGATTTTTTAAGCAGAGGCACGACTGAGATGATTGACTTATTGACGGATGCAAGAAGGTAATGATATATCTACAATTATGGATCTTTAAAAAAAAAACTAATTATTTGCTTGATACTAAAGATCTTTTATAGTTTTTCTCCAAGGAATCAGCTGCATTAGTGAAGAAGCATTAAAGCTAAGAATGGAACAAACTTTAAGTGATTGTGAGCTTTATTACTTCTATTAGTTTAATATGTACTCTGAAGATTTCTGAGAATTGAACATCAGGTGTGTTTGTTATTTCTCTCAACAACAATTCAGATAACAGCATTGTTTAGTCATGTATCAAATCAGCCAAGTTATTGAACCTATATTGTTTTTGTTGTATTTATTCTGACGTATCTAAAGAACTAATAGTCAAGCGGCACCCTATGACCATTACAGCTGGTATACATGCAGTATCACAGAAAAGAAAGCTAAGTGCTGTTCAAAATGTGAGCAAGAAACCTTTGTTTCCTATTAAGAGTTAATAATGTCAGCAATCATTTAAGGTCAAATATTATTTCTTCCCTCAAATACTCCCTGTCACTCTTGAAAAAGATCACTCATGTTGGATGAGTGTTCCATGGACGCTGGCAGACCTTCAGCAATTCCTCAATGGAATTCAATTTCATGTGCAATCCTAAGCAACGATTACTGTCCAACACTTTATTTGTTTTTGCATGGATTTGACAGCCAGTGTAGACCACTGAATAGTGATTTGAAGTGAAAATGGTAGCACAGAATAAGGAGGTAACTAAGGAACTTTTCTACTCTGTTCTTTTTGGCATTGGAAGAACATTGAAATCAATATCCTACCAAAACTATTACTCAAGTACAGTTAGTGAATCTTAATCATCTTTATCTTAACTCACCATTCAGGAACTGTGAAGGCAAGGTTAGGGAGTGATCTGATCAAGGTCTTCAAGATATTAACAGGAAAGGATAAGGTAGACAAAGATAAATTATTTCCACTGGTTGGAGATTCTGCAACAAGGGAGCATTGTCTGAAAATTAGAGCCAGACCATTCAGGAGGTATGTTAGGAAACACTACTATACACAAAAGGGTCATAGATGTTTGGAACTCTCTTTCACAAATGGTAATTCCTGCTAGATCAGTTGTTAATTTTAAATCTGAGATTGATAATTTTTTTGTTAGTGGACCAAAAGCAGGTATATGGATTAGGATTGATTAGCCACGATTTCATTGAATGACAGAAGCTGGAGTTAGAGAGAAGGTCTCAAAACTATCCTAATTAGAAACCTGATATTGAGTGTTTGGTATGGTGACTAAGGATAACTGGTGGAAGCAGTAAAGGCACATTAATAATCATCATATTCCTGGTAATAAAGAAGTCCACGAGCACTCCTGAACTAGTTGTTGGACTTGAGCGTAAGGATCGGGGAAGGGGACAATAAGGTAGTGCAAACAGATGGTGAATGATAGTTGCTTTTCTGACAGATCCTGCAGTCGTGAATTTATAGGCAGAGTAGACTAAATATGGGTAATATTTATAGTCCAGCCCAATTTGTGATGGAAAGCTGAACCAATTGTGCATCAGAGATTCTTAAGTCTGTCACTTTTCTATTTGAGGCAATAAAGATAAACACCATATTAGGGGATCCAAGAGGGCAGAGAATTAAAATTTTTCCGATAAATATTGCCAAAGGTGAGGGTGGCAGACCAATAAGTTTAGAAGTATAGTGGTGAATGAAGAGTCAAAAGTTATGTAGTTGTGAGTTTGAAGTTTACAACTCTCTTGTTATGGAAAGAAGTAAGATTGGAAGATGTCAGGGAAATGTGATTTCCGAGGGATACAAAGACATGGTTGAAGATGATCCTGTCAGTGATTAGGAAGTAGAGAAATGACAGGAAATGGGAAGGCTGAGGAAGTATTCATGAATATATGTAGGACTGGAACAAATTTTTCGAGCACAAACATGCAGTGAATTCAGAATAGAAGATGAAAATCTTCAAGGAAGACAAGTCACTTAATGCAGAGACTAGTGTAGGAAAGGAGGGGTGTCTTGAAAAAAAAAAGGGCCCTGATGTTTATAAAACCGGACATTTTGTGGGAAAAGCATACTAAAAATATAATAATTTTACTAATAATGAAAGGTTTGTCAAAGGAATTGTGAGCTCTTTAGGAACTAAAATGAGTGCCTATTTGTCAAAGTAAGAGGTGTGACTGAGATCCTAAATTAATAATTTGCACCAACAAGGACTTTCTTGAAGTAAATGAGGAAATTTTTGGAATACCGGATGAGATAAAATACAGAATGGGTTCTAGAGAGTTTGAAAGTCCTTGAAATGGTTGAGATTCTGAGATTGCTGGAGTAGGATTTATTAAGGGTAAATAACGTTTATTAATTTGACTGAGTTTTTGATGAGGTAATGGAAAGATGCATGGTAGCATTGTAGTTGAAGTTATGGATATGGACTTTTAAAAGACGTTTAGTAAAGCATCGCACTGGGTTTATTAACAAAATTAAGCTTAAACGATGAAAGGGATTGTAACAGTGTGACTAAAAATTGGCTAATTGTTATCGAATCGTAGGATTTGGAGGTACTGGGCAAACCTTGCAAGTCTATTTAAATGGTGAGGAAACTAGAAGTAGACTTCAAGAAGTCAGGGACAGGTTAATGGAATGGGCAGACATATGGCAGATGAAATTCAATGTCAAAAAGAGTGAAGTGATACATTTTGGTAGAATGCAGGATGAGTGGTAATACCAGCTAAATATTACAGTTTGAAAAGGGGTGTAACAACAAAGTGACCTTGTGTGTATCTTAACAAAGCAGTTAGTATGTGAGATATAAAAGGGGGTCACACATTTAAAACTAAGATGAGGAGGAATTTCTTCTCTCAAAGGGTAGTGAATCTATGGAATTCTTTCTGATCAGAGGGCTTTTGAGGTTGGGTCATTAAGTATATTCAAGATTGACATTTTTTTTGTGAGTAAGGCATTTTAGGATTATGGGAAAATGTAGGAAGGTGGAGTTGAGGATTATTGGATCAGTCATGATTTCATTGAATGGTGGAGTAGACTCAATTGGCTGAATGTCCTACTTACGCTCCCAAGTTTTATGATCATCTTTGATCCCAAGAAATTGGTAAAGAGAAGAGACACTTTGTAGCATGAGCTACCATGCCCTGACTGTGGCCGTCAAAGGCATAGTGACGTTGAACATTTTCAACCTGGCTTCTTTCACAAATCAGCTGCGAACCTTGGTGGCACCTTGCAAAAGGTTACACACATTTCATCTCATAGCTTATGACTTTTGATAGAAGTGTTTAAGATCACAAAGGATTGAGATAGACAACAAGGAGGAACATTTTGATTGCTAAAAGGTCTTTAACCATTTGATACAGATATAATGTCATTAGAAAAATTACTGGAGGCTGAAGAATGTTGTCTACAAAACAAGTGGCTAGGTTTGGGTATGCACAGCCTGAGGCGGTTGGAATAGAGATTGATTCATAACTTTCAAAGAGAATTGGATAAATACCTGAAGGAGAAAAATATGACCAGCATATGTGGAAGTGTAAAGGAACAAGATCTTTAAAAGAGGGGAAGGTACAAGATCAGTAAGGTGAGAAACTATGTTGTAATTTGATGCTGAAGGGCATATCACCACAATATCATTTTGCGTAGGATGGATGATGAAAAGGAGAAGGGGAATGGGGGATGGTAGCTTCGGTTCATAGTGAAGGTGAGCCAAATTTCAGTCAAAGTCAGGATGTCAACATACCAACAGTTGAGAGTGGGAGATAAGCCTGCTTTTCTTGTTTGGCTGTGCATTTTTTGGATCTAGTTATTTTCCATATACCACACCCTTTGTAGCATAGCTTTGTGTGAGTTTCAGGTGGTTCTTTTCTTGTCTTTCCTGAAATGTCGGAATACAAAGAAACGAAACCAGTTGAATGCAGATCACCTTCACTCCGCAGCATTTGTATGTACAAAACACCCAGATTTAGGTGCAATTGTGAATTGTGTGGATTCTATATAAAACGTTATTGGCTCCCAGTGTAAATAAAATGCACAGTTTTGCAATCTGCTCTCCTAGGTCATTTTTGTAGGTCTTACTCTTGATCTGGTGTGATCTAATCGTGTGTATATTGATAATTTAATTTGCAGAACCAGAGTGAAGAACAATGAAGTCATGGCAGAAAGACATAATGGACAATTAATTTCAAAGATCAAAATGGTGCTAAAAAATTAAGACAATACTCTGAATTCAAAATAACAAAAGCAACAAGAACTGAAAACATTGAGTCATAAAGCTGAGGAGATATTCTAGAAACAAGGCAAAGAAACATTCACTGAACTAAGACATTTGAGGTTACAGGACTGATTAATGCTCACTGACAGGAAGTTTGAAGTCTTTATCAATCATTTTGACTAGTGTGGCAGGGGGTGGGAACTGAAACATCAGGTTGATAAGTATAGAGACTGGAGAAGAGCTTGAAACTAAGGTATTTTTGCTAAAAGGACAAGCAGTCAGGGAGAGATAGTAGGAACTGCAGATGCTGGAAAATCTGAGATAACAAGGTGTAGAGCTGGATGGCTGGAAAATCTGAGATCTGAGTCAGGGAGAGGTTGTTGAGCTCAGTGGAAATGAAGGCTTGGACTGTATTTGCTTCAATGCAAGAAGCATAACAGGTAAAGCGGGTAAACGTAGATCCTGGATTAATGCAAGCAATTATAATGTTGCTGCTATCACAGAGACATGTTGAAAGAGGGACATAGTTGGCAGTTTAACGTTCCAGCATATTGATGTTTTAGACAAGACAGAGTAGGAAGCATAAGAGATGAAGGAGTTACATTACTGGTTAGGCAGCACATCACAGCTGTGCTGAGAGACGATACCCTGGAGGGATCTGGCAGTGAGGCATTGTGGGTAGAGCTCAGGAGTAGGAAAAGTGCAATGACAATGCTAGCATTGTCCTGTGGACCTCCCAGATGTCAGCGGGAGTCAGGGAAGAGATATGTAGTCAGATTCTAGAAAGATGTGAAAATAACAGTGTTGTTGGG